AAAAAAAAAAAAAAAAAAAAAAAAAAAAAAAAAAAAAAGATGATAATTTCGTTGCTTATATTCTGCATAATATCTATTGTTAGGTAAGTACTTCAAGTACATAACTAATTTATAAGATACACACTTGACTTGACACTTAACCACAAATAAACTCATGAAACCCAAATTTGAGTGTGACCTGGTCTAGCCCAAACTACCTACAAGGCCCAATTTAAAATGGATTAGAATATTTGGCCCATTACCATACGTGACCCAATTTATATGCTGGACGTCACCAGAGCAACAAAGCAGAGTATCTACAAAGAAGGCAATTGCATAGGAAAACCTGAAGTGGGGTTGTCCCTTTTATTAAATCAATATTGAAAAAGATCCTCTTTATAATGATGGATAACGTTTTATTATGCCACCACACACTACGTACCTATCTTCATCAATCACTCTCTTCAATGTCAATAAAAAGCCAAATAAGTGGACGAAAAATTAAATAAATTTATAAAAAAGGTTGCAATTATTATTATTATTATTATTATTATTAATTTACTATAAATCACTCCTATTGGACCTTCAAAAGTAAAAAATTATCTCAGAAAATGACATCAAAACCTAGGCAATCATCAATCTAAACAACCGAAAGAGAAGACCCAACAAGTTTTCTAAGAAAACACCACCCCCGCTGCCACACAACCGCCACCGCCATGGGTGGCAAGATGATAACCACCTTCATAGCCATAACCACCTCCTTATCTTTCTACTTCCTTTCAACCCCACCAAAATCCCACTACCACTCGCTCTTCATATCTCCGCCATTCTCCGACAACACCTCCATATCAAACCACCTCTTCACGCTCACGCGCCGCCCTCACCTCGCCGGAACTGAAGCCAACGCGGAGGCTGCTTCCTACGTCTTATCAACTCTCTCCTCCAACAACATCAAATCACACCTCTCAGAGTACGCCGTCCTCCTCACCTACCCTGATTCCCGTTCCCTAACACTAACCCGCCCCTCCCCAGACCCACCCATCACTTTCGCCCTCCGCCAAGAAACATACAACGGCGACCCCTACGCTGACGTGGCAGACCAAGTGGAACCCACATTCCATGCGTACGCAAAGTCAGGTACAGTGAAGGGACACGTGGCGTACGTGAACTACGGACGCGTGGAGGATTATAAAACTATTAAAGATCTCGGGATTAATATATCGGGTGCTATTGTGCTTGCGAGATATGGGGAGATATATAGGGGAGACATCGTTGAGAATGCGTATGACGCTGGTGCTATAGGTGTGTTGATTTATACCGATAGGAAAGACTACGGTGGTGGTGGTGGTGGTGCGCGGTGGTTTCCGGAGGAGAAGTGGATGCCGCCGAGTGGTGTGCAGGTGGGGTCGGTGTTTAATGGAGTGGGTGACCCTACGACGCCAGGGTGGCCTAGTGTTGAGGGTTGTGAGAGGTTGTCCGATGATGACGTGGAAAAGGGAGGAGATGTTCCGTTGATACCTTCGTTGCCTATATCGGGAGCTGATGGGGAGGAAATTTTGAAGTGTATAGGTGGGGTGGTGGCTGATGAGGAGTGGCGGGGTGACAAAGATGCTCCGGTTTATAGGATTGGACCGGGTCCAGGAATAATAGACCTCACTTACAAGGTAAACTTACCTTTTTCGTCCCTGTAGTTTAGTAGTTTTTGCAAATGGGGTCCGATGTTTTCGTTTCTAATGTTTTTGGTCGTTGGTGTTGTAGGCAAAACAAGTGATAAGCACGATTCAGAATGTAATAGGGATAATTGAAGGAGCAGAGGAACCTGATAGGTAAACCCTAATATATGATTTTATTAACATTTATGATTTACGGTAAAGTTACCCTTTCGGTCCCTGTAGTTTAGTAGTTTTATGTAAATAGTTTAACTGTGTGTAAAGCTTGTTAACAGATTTGTAATCTTGGGGAATCATCGAGATGCTTGGACATTTGGGGCAGTTGATCCCAACAGTGGCACTGCTGTTCTACTCGAGGTAAATAATTAATATGAGTACAAATGGCATATGATTTTAGTAAAAATTATGGTAAATATGACGTGGCATACTGATACAGGTGGCAGAAAGGTTCCGGAAGCTACAGAAAGAAGGTTGGAAGCCTCGAAGAAGTATCATCTTTTGCAATTGGGATGCAGAGGAATATGGACTGGTCTACATCTCTCTCACACACACACACACAAATTGCAGTTTTTTTTATAAGGAAAGTAAAAAAAAAATGTTTGACTGAGTTTTTATGTTGGGTTTTTTCAGATTGGATCAACAGAATGGGTTGAAGAAAACCGAGAAATGTTGGCTTCAAAAGTTGTTGCTTATTTAAATGTTGATATTGCGGTTTCTGGAGCAGGGTTTAAGGCATCTGCAACTCCACAACTTGATCAGTTAATCATACAAGCTACAAAACAGGTAATAAAATTTATTTTCTGTTTACGAGGATATTCCGGTCTTTTAAACATGGGTTCAAAGCTAAAGTCAAACTTTTGAAGGTTAAAGACCCAGACAACTCATCACAAACTGTCTATGAATCCTGGGTTCAAACCACCGATTATCTTAAGGTAAGTGTTTCACAATTACTTTCCTGCCCTTTAAGTGATTTCAAAATTAGGTGTCACTTCAAAAGTTAGAATAATAGTTGAAAAAAGAGTTTGATAATGCCTAACAAGAATTTAATGAAAAAAAAAAAAAATAGATTGGAAGGTTAGGAGGTGGAGGATCAGATTATTCAGCATTTGTACAGCATATAGGTGTTCCATCAACAGATATATCTTTTGGAGGAGGTAAATTAAGTTAACATTTTTTTTTAAAAAAATTTGGTCAACATGTGGTCAAGGGAAATATTTAAGTTGATGAAAAGTGAAAACTAATGCTTTGTTGTAGGCTACCCAGTGTACCACTCCATGTATGATGACTTTGTATGGATGAGTAAATTTGGTGATCCAATGTTTCGTAGACATGTGGCAGGTATGTTTTAAGTTTTTAAGTTTTAAGTTATAAGTTTTAACATATATTATTTAATTATAACTAAAAATTGACAAAACTAAAAATTGACAGCGGCAAGCATTTGGGGTTTAGTAGCTCTACAGCTTGCAGATGATGAGATTTTGCCTTTTAATTATGATTCATATGTATATGAGCTTCAGGTATGTTAACAAATCTGAGGCGAATAATTCTATTTAAATATTTGGTGGAATTTTATTAAAATGTTTTTTGTTGACACAGACAAGTGCTGAAGATTTGGAAATTGAGTTATTGGATAATAAGGGCATAACCCTTGTCCCCTTGTTCAAATCTATTGAAAAAATGAGAACAGCAGCCATACAAATAAACAATGAAATCAAGGTATGATTGATTCATCTTTTTTTATATAAATAATAATACCATAAATGGACATTAAATTAAAAAAAAAAAAAAAAAAAGGTTGAATTCCAGGAAATAAAAGAAAAACAAAATAAAAGGTGGGCATCATTGTCATTGATATGGAAAGAGAAAGATGATGAAGCATGGAAAGTGAGAGAAATGAATGACAGATTAATGATGGCAGAACGAGCACTTACAGATAGGGAAGGACTCCCTGGAAGACCTTGGTATAAGCATCTGGTATGTATTTTCTCTTTCTGCATCAACAAAAAGAGCAAATTACATTTTTGGTCCTTGAGTTTAGCTGATTATGGTCCTTAAAGAGAGAAAAAGGGAAAAGAAGATTATGTTTATGTTACCATGAAATGGAGAGGGTGATTGATGTTTGTTGGGTTGGGTGTGACAGATATATGCTCCATCAAAGCATGATGATTATGGATCAAAATGCTTCCCTGGAATAGACGATTCCATTGAAATTGCAAAGAGCCTCAACACTCAAGAATCATGGAATTCAGTACAACATGAAATTTGGAGAGTCTCAAGAGTAGTCACACAGGCATCACTAGTTCTTTGTGCTCAACTAACATAATATATAAATACTGCTGTCTAATAATTCTACTTTATTGTAAGTGTAACTGTAACACTTGTATTTGTGTTCAAGAAAAGAGAAGGATGCAAACAATTTGTCCGGAATATAAGTTAAGAATGATTATAGTGGGGATGGGATACAGAGCTGATAATCAAACTTTGTAAAACTAATAATATAAACAAATAATTAATATGTACAAACTATTACTAATGATTGTTGTTTATTTACATTACATGGTCTACTTCCAAACCTTGATGGTGCCATCTCTGCTGCTTGATAAAAGTAGTCTCTGGTTCAATTTAACAGAAGCAAGAGAAAGGATGGAGTCGCGGTGGCAGCCGCCTGTGTCGGTGGCGGCAGAAGCAAGAACCGCCTTTCCAGTTGGCCTAGTTGCCAATGGTCGTCTCTTTGCCTCCTATTATCAACATGTTAAAATTAGGGCCTTAAATAAGTGTTGAAGGGATTTTCAATTGAAGAAACTCAACAAACCTGCACGATTTGCACCCCAAAACTGGATTTTGTTTCATAAAATTCGTCATTCCCAACTCCCTTAATAGATGGACCACAAATGCAATAACTTCGATCTGGGCTGCATTTTTAAAGAACCAAATTTATGTCAGTATTAATAACAACAGTTTTAGATTAGACAAAAAAAAAAAAAAAAAAAAAAAAAAAACCTGCAATGATCCCATCGACGAATTTTTAAATCAGTCCCACCAGTTAATAAATCTCCTCCAGGTAAAGGAAGCAATGAACGGATTCCAGGTGATCTAGCAGGAGGTTCATTCAACTCATCTACTCTATACTTATAATTCACATTCCTTCTAGAATCACCTTTTGAATTTGTCTTACTAGATGTAGATGTAGATGCTCTAGCCAATGCCCAAGGCATGTCAGAAATCTCACCATCACTCTCATTATTCGCAACCCTCAACACCTGTATCCATTACAAAAAAAAACCAATAAATAAAAATCAGCACTAAATTTTATTAATCAATTAACAAATATATTGTACCTGGTGACAACTCCCATTTTCTGCATTCCAGAGAGAAACTTCATTACAACCTGCAGCAACATAAACAAGTGGCCTAACAGTTGTAGACAACGTGGTACTCTGAGGAGGGACAAAAAGACACATGTCTTCAACAGGACATGGAACAGAATACTGCCATGAGTTCACAGGTATACCAAATCTCAAATCCCATAAAGTCAAAACCCCTCTAGAAGACCCTGAAACAAACCAATTCCCACATGGACTTGTCACAAGAGCAGAAACATAACCCTCTTCCGGAATCACTTTCGTATTCCATGCGTTTGAATTCTGTCGCGTATCAGACAAATGGATTCCACAGTTGTGAGTGCTATAAAGAATCATCTTCCCATCATCACCATGTGAAGAGTAATTCAACAGTGTTAGAATCGCACCTTCTCCGATTCCATTCCGTTTGACATCCGTGATTCCGGAGTATTTCTCGACAACGGTTCCTAGTCCTCGGGAGACGTAATCGACTGAGAACATGTGGATTGTTCCATCGGATGATCCGACAACTACTTGAGCAGATCCATGGAGCATTGTGGCACAGAGTGCACGACTCCCTTCTAGACAATAAGTTAGTCTTGATCTGAATGAAATGTCCTTTTCCAGCTTTCTAGAATCCCATACTTTAACAGTGGAATCATCAGATGCAGTTACAAAAAAGCTATGGTCTGTGGAAACGGCGATGTCGTTGACAGCGGATCGATGTTCTTGGAGATGTGCTACCAATACACCGCGAGGACGCCAACCGGAATCCGGGATTCCAGGGGTTCGTGAGAAGGAGGGTAAATTTGGTATTTCGGTAGGAGAGGTGTCGTTTTCTATAACTGGAGTACTCCCTTTTAGGGTAGTGGAAACTCCCATGTCTTGGAATTTGTTGCTGAGGTGGACGGTTTGATCCGATTCCCGATCTTCCAGCTCGTGTACAACTCGGTGGAATTGCGGAGTGGAATTGGTGATTCCGATTGAGCTCGAGACAAGGCTGGGAGACGGAATGGAATCCAAACCGTCTAATTGTGATGATGATTCAGGTGCAGATGAAGAAGCACTTCCGGGTGATCTTTTGTTATCGTATTTGAAATAATACAATGGAATCCCATCTGAAGATTTTTCACCCACTAAACTATTCGCCCCACTTATTTGAGGCGACATAAACCCTGAAAACTTCAACTTATCTGAAAATAAAGGATCCAAAATATCAACTGTTCCAGAACCAGTACGTGAAAACGAGGGCAATCCTGGAATTTCACCAAGCCCAAAAGATTGGATACTGTTGGAAACATGTTTATGATCTTGAAAATCGGGGCGTCTATCTGACCACATTTTCATTTTCTCCAATTCTCGAACACCTTTATTGTACACATCATCACTTTGTTTACCTTGTGCAGATGAATTATACCATATCTTTCTTTGTCTTTCCAACATATCTGAACTCCTGTTGTTTTCCAAGATTTGGTAAAACACAGTTCTTGAAACAGGTGGCTTCAAACACGAGAAAAGGGCGTTTTCGGAAGCTAAAGAAGATGGTTGTCTACGAAGAAAAGGACGAATAAGTGGGACAAGAAACACATAAGAGTCAACAGCACCTAAACTCTCACTACTTGCTGAAACAAATGTCACCACTGACCTTCTTACCCATTGACTCGGATAACACAACAAAGGAAACGCATGTTCAATCATTTCAAGCAATACCCTTTTGCGTAAAAAGCCACTTTTGGTCAAAATAGCTAAACAGTCCAACGCGTTGACTATCACTGCTTCTGTTTGGTCAACTAAAGCTTGTTCAAGATAAGGTAAAAGATACTCCTCAACACTCCGTTGACCAACAAAGAAACAAACATAAACTATTTGTCTGTAAAAAACCGACCTCAAAAGCTCATCTTGATCGTTTAAAAACGCGGGTAGAATCGGTAATAAAAAGTCATTACTTTGTCTTTGACCAAAAAACCAACAAAGATTCCCAATATCTTGTAACAACGCGCGTCTTATGTTAGGAGTTTGTTTGGGTCCCATTACAAGTTCTTGAATCACTTCAGCTATCGATTTCCTCAACTGTGCCAGCTGTGCATCGTTTTTCTGATTCTGTAGCCTTCCAGACGTGACACCTGGCACTCCAGGTTTCTGTCCATCGTTTAAAACTCCAGCTTCTGTTAAGCTTATGGAGTGGATTAAGAATCCATAAGCAGTAAGGGCAAGTTTGGAAATGTTACTCGCGTAGCATATACGTACACTTTCTTCAGGATCATCAGGAAGCATTGAAAGCATTGGGAGAATATATTCAGGGAAGATTTTTGCATCACTTGGAGGGAAATCTCTGACCAAGGGCAAAATGTCACATAAAGTTTCCAAAGCTGCTGATCTTACAATTGCAGAAGGATCTGATAACATGGCGATTACATATGGAAGAACACGTTGTAATCGATCTTCATCGTCTATGTATGATGAACATGATTTTAGTAAAAGGACAGCTGTACGTCTGAGTTGTGGCATTTTGACATTGCGGATAGAGGAACAGAGGAGTGAGGCGATTAGAACCATGCCTTCACAGCTTATGTTGTCTTGTGGTAGGGGTAAAATCGGCATTCCAAAAGTATCGGATTGGTTGTCGTAATCGGACATGAAAGAGTTTAGATCACTTACTGTGATTTCTCGGGTGTGTGGATGGTGGTTTCTTTCGAATACATTTGAGATTGTTCTGAGTAGCTTTTTGGTGGATCGAATGCCAAATTGTTGGTTGTTTTGAGAGTTTTTCTTGTCCTCTGTGTGTGAGGGTATTTTGGGAAAACTTACATTTTGTTTAGAGTCCATCAATCGGCGATTTGTAACAACATTTGTGGAGAAGTTATTTATTCCAATGGTGTCCTCGCCTGATTTGTTGTTTAACATCTGTTTGAGTATTTCAGGGAAAGACAACTGGCACATTGCTACCTGTATGAAAAATGATTAAAAGGGTAGCGAATATTTATTTTTTTACATTTTAGTTGAATGACAAAATTGGGTCTTTGTCTTTACTCTTTCTTACCCTGGAATCAGGATTGATGGGATTCAAATTGGAATATAAGTTATGGAGGAATGGAGAGAAGTAGCTTGGAAGAACAACTCCTGCATAGGTTTGGAGATAGCTTTCAGCTGAACAACGGGAATCAGGATCAAGTTGAACCATGTGAAGAATCATCTTGCGGATTCCTGAATCTGGAATCTGAAATGTATATATTCAAATATGAATTTGATTAAGTTGATTTAGGGTTTATTGTGTTAATGAATTTGTTTCAATCTTTAATATGTAACATAAAAGAATAGAATTTGAGGTTATTAAGAGGGAAAAATGAGAGATGAAAAAGAGAAAAGTCAAAATAACAAAAGTTTACCTTCTCCAAATGTTGACTAGGATCAAATTGACCCCTTCTATATGCAAGTAGTTGTGATAGTTCAAAGAGGGGTTGACCTTCAAGGAAAAGTTCTGCAATTACACAACTAAAGCAACAAGCAGATAAAGATTATTGTTAGAGACATAAAAAAGATTATGTAATTTCACTTGGGTGTGTTTAAATGTTGAATACATGGCTTACCCAACAGCAAAGATGTCCATTGAAGGTCTTAAAGGTGCATCTTGTGAAACTTGAATCTCACCTCCATGTTCATAGAATCTCTAAACATCAATGATATATGGTAATAAGTAGATGTTATAGCTACAAACATTATTTGGGAAAGTGAAATAAAGAAGTAACAAGATTGAAGAAAAGTATTATCAGTTATCACCTCTGGTGCAAGATAGCAGCGTCTCCTTCCTCCAGTATCAAAGAAGAATGAGAAATCAGAGGGATCATCATGTGGAATGTAGGTTGGTTTAAATGATGCAAAATCAGCAAGGTAAAGCCAGTTCCAAGAAGTAACCAGAACATTCTCACATTTAATATCACCTACAGAAGTAATTTTATATTTTTATTACATCAATGTGAGATTAACAAGAGTTATGATGTA